GTGGTCCGGAACCCCCCCGACGTCCACGGCAATCCGGCGCAGACCGTGCTGACCGTCACGCGGCAGGGTGAGAGGCGCCGCGGGCTCCCCCCGGTACCTCCGTGGCGCGGTGCCCCTGAGAGAAAGTGCTTTGCCAGCCGTGGCTTGGCACTGTGCTGTTTCGTAAGCTGTGAGGGCGAGAGCTGTTGCACTGTGATTGCCCCTGCGGTGACAGAGCTGGTGGTCCTGGTCAGTACCTGGATGGGAGACCTTCTGGGAAAGCTAAGGCTGCTGCTGGAAGAGGTGTTAGTGGGTCCAGTAGGGGGCGCTCACCCTGCGGTCTTTGTGGGTCCTAATGCCCCAGTATAGTGATTGGCATGGGTCCTTTGGATGAGACACAAAACCGAGGTCATGACTCTCTGTGGTCATTAAAAATCCCAGGGCGTTTCTCGAAAAGAGTGTCCTGGCCAAATTTGCCCCTGGCCTTTACCAATCATGGCCTCCCGAGTGTGCTGGCACAGCATCTAGATGGAGCTGCACATTGGTGGTGGAAGTGGGATTCCCCGCTACCTGTTAAGAGCTTTGAGTGGAGTTTCCAGAAATGTGGTCTATAAGTGTAATCAGTTATAAATATTATTATAGGACTTATAGGAGAGATTCCTGTTGCGGCAGTCAATTGTGGAGGTGTGTTCTGGACTGGGAGGGGAAACTGGGATGACTGGGAGTTCTCTCCCCACAGACACTTCTCTGCGCTTCACGAGCTTCTTCGCGCTAGTGGTGCTGGTGCTCTTCCCCTCCGCCGTGATCCTCCTGGTGCAGCTGGGCAGGATGTGCTGCAGCAGGTTCGACTGTGGAGAGGGCAAGAGGCGGGATTCCAAAGCGTGTCCCATCGAGGTGATGGACAGGTGAGGCTCTGAGACCCCTTAAAACTGGCTTGGAGATGGACACTCCACTGTCCACTCCTTAACACTGGCTTGGAGACAGACACTCCCTCCACTCCTTAACACCAGCTCGGAGATGGACAATCTGTCCATTCCCTAACACCGGCTTTGAGTTACTGATTATCAGAAGTGCTTTCTTATTTTATCAACAGAGAGGACACGGGCCCCAAGAAGCCTACATTGAAGGACAGAATTGCATGGTGCTGCTTCAAGTGCTTTCAGGTACAGTCTTCTCCCCTATCTCTGTTAAGATAAGATCACTTTAGCCATATACGATATCTTGCGTTAGGATTTTTCGAATACCTCAAGCTTGGGGTCAGAGCGCAGGGTCAGCCATTGTACAGCACCCCTGGAGCAGCCGGGGTTGAGGACCTTGCTCAGGAACCCAACGGAGTAGGATTGCTCTGCCGACTGCGGGATTTGAACCGGCAACCTTCCAGCCACAGGCACAGATCCTGAGCCACAGAGCCACCGCTCCGCCCCATGTAATACCTGTGCCTGTCCTGGGGTGCAGAGCTGTACACTGTGGAACATGGACAGTGCTCTTCTAAAGCACTCGGACTGAAAAGTAACAGCTGTTATTTTTACATTTTACTGCTTGTTTTGGAGGAATACATATTGGTGATCACGAGATTAATATGAATGACTATAATATACACTTTATTTTCTAAGCCATACTATGCATACATTACATTACGTCCTTTTATTCTAGTAGAATTTTTTTTGTATTCAACCCTGTGATGTCAAGTGGCCACTGGTGTTGAGACAGATTCACTGTAAGTAAATTTCTTGGAGTGTATGTCAGTATTTGGGGTCACGTCCCTTTGAGGCCCAAACCGCACAAAGTCTGTGCCCTGTTCTGCTCAACCAAACTCCTTGCGAGACGCTTTGCTGCCACCACTTGGAGTTCTTGTCGATTCTAGGGGTGCTCCTACTTCAGTTGTCTTTCCCTGGCTTGTAAATAGCTGCTCAGCCAGAGCTAAATCTGGCGATCGTCTTGGCCAGTCTTCGCTTTTCCAATGTGTTCTCTGGTGAACTCCTCGACTGTGTGTGTTTAGGGGTTATTGTCGTGCCTCAGGCTGAAGCACTGCCCAATACGTATGGAGACATGTTCTCCACCATAAGCAGACGGCATGTTTTTGTGAACCTCAAAATTCGTTGTTTACATCGGCAAAAAAACCAGTGTGTCCGATCAAGAAGTGCCATGCTTGCACAGCAGATCACGGCACCACCTCCAACAGGCTTCAGCCTTGGCTCAGATGATCAAAGATGAGTCAGCAGAGTTTTGAAACAAAGATTTCTGGACACATGAAACCAAGATAAACCTTTAAGAAAGTGATGGAAATTGAAAGTGTGGAGAAAGGGGAAAAAAAAAGTAGGCCTTCATCAGCCTGCCCCATTTCTCAGCAGGATGTTCTGAGACTTGCTTGCACATGCCTGGAAGCCTGTACAGCTGTGATGATGAGAATTTCAACAACACTTCTCAATTATTCTTCTCCAGGACTCTGACTATGAAGACTACGACGTGGAAGAGCCCTTGCGACACCATGAGCCTGTGGCAGAATCTCACTGCTAGCGCCCTCTGCTGGGCGGGTCGGGGAATTGCGGGACTGCCTCTTGAGCCCACAGAGTCAGCGGTGCCTGGGCTGTCGCTGGACTGAACTCTTGCGAGACCTGCTTCAGCAGAGAGCCCCCTTGGCTTACAGCTAAATGCCCAGCGGATCGCATAACCTGGAAGAATACCAGGCTTGATGACTGCACTCCCATCCCATTTCAGATCTGTCTGAAGCCAACAGATTGATTCTGAACTCCCATTCCAGAACAGGATTTACAAGTTTAATGCGTCGATGACTTTCCTCCCTAAGAACTTCTCCAGCCTGCCCGTTCTGGGAAAGATCTAGTTCTTTCTGAAGAAATGCAGACATGAAGATTAGTCCTATGAAGAAAGTCCTTTTTTTCCCTCTGGGCTATATTCTCAGATTAAGTTTAAATTTGTAATTTTGGATTAAGTTATTTCTTCGATAATGCCGAGCATCAGTTATTCTTTAATAGTGGTATTAAATGTCTATTTATGTGATTTTTGTTTTTTAATATCATTTTTTTTTATTTGGGTGTCCATCACCTACTGTTAGCTGGGATTCAAAATAGTTCCTCTCCCATGTTGATGGTGCCAGGATGGAGTCAGAAGAGTATTTTTTGCTACGTTATGTGTTATGTATTGGCCTTGTGGCTCTGGGCATCATTCATAAGGTATATTTCACTGTACGTAGTGTGCACATTACACATCTATTTTGTGAAGGGGAAAGGGGAATTAATGTTAAGAAACCAATCGCCAATGTTTAAAATGTCTGTGAGGACCCATTAATTTGCAGTCTCACGAGATGCACATGACACTTCACAGCCAGGATGTAATAATGCTTGGTGGGTTGGAGCAATTGTGTTTTTTTACTGCTGGAGGAAGCACATTAAAAGTGCTGGTAACTAGAACTAGCACTCCTCTACAGCATTCAACCAGTCTGAAGATGACATGCTCCGAGCCTTCCAAAAAACAAACTACTGACTTCAGGGTGACCTGCCGGCCCTGTTGGACTGTGGTTATAATAATAATAATTGCTAACACTTATATAGCGCTTTTCTGGACACTCCACTCAAAGCTCTTTACAGGTAATGGGGAATCCCACTGTCACCACCACCTGGATGATGTGACGGCAGCCATAGTGCACCAGTACTCTCACAATACATCAACTATCAGTAAGGAGAAGAGCAGAGTAATGAAGCCAATTCATAGACAGCGAAATTTGGTCAGGAAGCCGGCGTTGCACTCCAGAACTCGGGCTGGAAACCCTGGCTTTCCTGGGAATCCAAATGACCACTGCACAGTGATGTTGGCTGCAAAGGAAGAAAAGAAACACAACATGGTTGGTGTGAAGCCTTCTTTGGGTGCAAAGAAGGCTCCACAGCCGAAACATGTCTTTCTTTTCTACTCTTTTTAGCTCGGAATGGACCTGTTCTTGTTCCCAGTACGGGATGACTTGTGTACCTACTCTTGTAGGCCATAAAAGCTGGGGTGGATGGAACTCCCGTTCCCTTTTTGTGCAGTTCAAACCGTGCTATTCAAATGCACGGTGCTCCAGTCCAGTCTGATCAATTCCTGGCTTTAACAGCTTCCAAGCTCTTACACCAGCTGTGCTAAAAGGGGCAGTAGAGAGACCCACTTCACATTACATCTTCTTTCACACAGTCTAAATGCCACCGCTGTCTTTCACCCTTGTCTCCCTGTTCACTCTGGCTTGTACCCCAGCCCAATTCTCAGTCACAGGTGGGACTAATTTCAGTTTTCTCCTTGCGTTCTGCTGTTAAACCTCTGAGACCTATTGGTTGCCATAAATTGATCACACCTTCATAGATGATTAATGGGAAATTAGGTGTTTATGAAGCATGCTGAGAAGAACTGAAACAAGCAGGCAGGGGAACTGAAGAGCTGAAACCAGGAGAGACAGAGATCTCCCAGGGCTGGGACTGAGAGACAGTGGGCTATGCAATAAGGTTACAAGCCTCATACATCCAGTGACTGAATTGCTTTCCCTGGGAAGCTGCAGTTCTTAAAACAAAACTTAAATGGATTAAACTGCTAGGCAGTAAGAGTCTTTATTGTTGGTCTGCAGGGATCCAGTTGTGTCTAGACCAAGATGTGCTCCACAGGACTTCGTGTGTCTTATGAATTGTGTCCTGATAAACATTTTATTACACATGCTAGCTGACATGAAACTGAATTTTTTTAAAAAATAGGATAATCCAGTTTGGATTATGTATTCCTTTATAGTGATTTGTATACATTATATTCAATTATACTCTTCCAATCTGGAAGTATCAACAGTGAGGCACCTTTAGCTGTGTATCCAGGTAGACACAATGGCCAAAGTCTGAAGTTGAGCTCTGCAGACATGCTGCACGTTGGTGAACTAGAGTCCAATTTCGACAAGGGCGAGGAGAAACGAAGCCCGCCTGCATGGCAGAGAAGGCTCCAAAAGCTGTCAAAGACGTTCGCGCCTGAATCCGTTACCTGTCGACGAGGAAACTATCAGCGGCGCATTCGATCAAATCTGAGAAAGACACGTTTCACATGAACATCAGTCACCTCCAGGTGTAAGTATTGCAATTGTCATGTTTAGACTTAGCTGTGATGAGGAGCGCGTGAGTCTTTTGTGTTGGTGCCAATACAGAATTTTTCTGGCTCCTCGTCCTCGGAGCCGCAATCAGGTGAAGAAGGGGGAGTCGGGAGCACAGCCGGCTCACTATCTGAGCGGAGGCCGGCCACATCTGGGAAAACCGCTCAATCTGCTCTCTACCAGAAGACAGTTCTTAAATCTTCCCGGACACTGGGACAGATACAAACATGGTTGTCATTGAAAAAATGTCTTAGGGCTCAGATGATCTACTGCTCGAAAGTGCAGCTCACCAGACAGTTAGAGTACTGTGTCGTCACCTGTAGCACTTCACCAGCTGACTGGTTTCCTTGGAACTGAGCTCGTAGCTGGAGGTGCTGTTACACTACAGTTCACAGTGCTGTGAAACTGAGGGCGGTAGCTGGTGTAATAAGAGTGGCTCTGCTGTAGCTGCTGGAGAGGTTGCTTTGAACACGGTGATTTTTACTTCAGACCCTTAACTTTAACTTTAAACTGCCTGAACTAAAAGTACAGGATGGGGCCACTTATCTGCCAGCTTTGTTGAACATCGATTGCGGCGACTTGTATCAGTCCAGATCTTTGCACTGTGTCCATTTACATTTGTACCTGATGGCCGAGGATCTGAGTATAGCATCTCTGAAGACAAGTTTGTTTTCTTTGTCCTCTGACAAATGGACCTAGTCTTGAGGCTTACAGGACTTCACAGGTGTCTATAACTGGGACACAAGTACCATATCCTTTGCGGCTTCAGTAATTCGTTTATGGTAAATTCTTTTCATGCCTATTTATCGGAATTCTGTGTTCTGCCCTGTGATTTATTTCCCACCCTGCCTTGCGCCCAGTGCTTTGTGAGACAGGCTCCAGCACCCTGAATTGGGGGGAAAAAAGTGCTTAGATTTAGTTTCCAGCTCAGTATTCCTTTTGGATAACAGCAAGAGCATTATGAATGAGTAAGACTCTGGTGCACAAACTGCATGCATGTTCCATCTGTGTTGTGTTTGTGTCAAACGACTGCATCCCAATAAACACACGTTACTTATTTGGTGAAAACTGGGAGTCACAGTGATCAGTTATGTATCTGTTATCTAAGTGCAGTTTCGCATGTTATGCAAGTCTTTTTGTTTCAACATGACCACAGAATGCTGTTAGTTTCTGTCTTGGCAGGTGTGCTGTAGCAGCAATCGGAGATGTTAATTTTGTCCGTTTAGTTCTTTGGTTTTGTATGATTTCTACCCCCTGAGCGCTGCTTGTTATTTAAATTAAGGGGTGCTTTATTTATTTAACTTGCTGGGATGCTTTTTACACTTTGATTGATTTTTTTATAAACCAGCAAAACCATGCTAGAAATATACAACAAATCAATTACAGTGCTATTGCCGGTTGTTTCTCGATAAGAGTAGGGAGTTATCCACTGTCTGGGCCAAATTCCCCCCCTCGGCCTTTACCGTGGCCTCCAAACTGTCCCCATGTATGACTGGCTTGCACCTGCCCTGCGATGGACTGGCGTCCCATCCAGGGTGTGCCCTGCCTTGCTCTCCTTGCTTGCTGGGTAGGCTCCGGCTTCCCGCGACACCGTATGGTATAAAGCAGTCTGCCAAATGACAAGACATGACAATCACAGTGCCACAGAGTGCTTATCCCGCAGAAAGTCTATACCCCCTTTCCAAAGAAACACCTTCTGTGGCCTAACAGCGTGCAATCAAAGCACACTAAATCAGGATTTATTTTACCTGTACACTGGTAGCTCATCTGCAGCACAGAACACAGCCCAACAAACAAACTACACAAAAATAACAGATTCCCCGACACATTGTCCACATTATTCCCAAGGATCCCACTTATTGGAAGGAACCCACTTCATTCGTCCCTGTAGAGTACCTCCTATAGCATATCGTCCTTGGTCAATAGACCGAGGCATGGTTCAGGGGAAAGAGCACCCCCTACTGGTCCACCAACACCACTACAGCAGTAGCCAGACTGTCCTTCAAGGTCTTGGTATTAACCAGCTCCGGCTTTACTAAGCTTCAGAGAGCTGATGAAATCAGACTGGGGAATGTCGGACATACAGTAACCCAAGTAAATATTACATAATATTACAGATTTGGACTTGTCAACGTTACAGCTTCTGTATGACAGTATAGTGGTTAGAAAATGGCTGGATGGAAAAACTGGCTGGGCGTTTGATATCGTATCATTCCCACCTGTGTCTGTTCATTCACTGATCACCTACTAATTGCTATTTAGTAAAAAAATAAGTGAGCAATTTGACTAGAGACAAGTTTGAACATTCTGGGCCCCGAGGAAGGAAGAAATCAATGTTAACTTGATTGACGGAAGATAAAAGTCTAAACCAGCAAGTTGATTAGTTGTAGGGCCCATGTGGGATGAATACTCCAGGACCAGTGTTGAGTGCCTCTCCTCTAATCCCTGCAGAATTGAAGTAGATTTGCCATTTCTGTTCTCATAAAATTCTTACTGTTTTTAAAAGTATAACGGATCCATGGGTTAAAATGATGCGTGCTGTGTAAATCTAGCTCTGCAAGGCGGGACAAATTTATATATAGAAAGGCGTGCTTGTGTAGACCCTCCTGCAGAAGAAGGCAAGCTGAAGTGAAGAGAAGTGAAAGCAGAGGGGAAGACGCTTCACATCCCCCCAGCTCACACATGCGTTCAGACGGCTGAGTGTGGTGAGATTAACTTCAAAGTTCGCCTTTTTTGTGTTAACAGATGTCAGCCGCGTCCGGTGACCCCTCTTTCACCTCGCAGGACCTGAGACTCCAGTGCTCGGCCAGTCACTCGTTCATCGCCCTGCGTTCCCCAGTCACGCCTGGTAAGTTTTACGCACATCTTTGCTCTGCTATGCCAGGAGGTTACAAATGAGAGCAAGACACTTTGCCCTAGCAGTTTGTTTCCTTTCAGCAGCTAATTTATCCAGGGATCTCACCCAGGTGGTTCCTGAAAGAAGGCGAGGCGAAGTGCACGGCTGGGCACGGTGGTTAGCTCGTTCCACACCCCCACCGCTCTTCGCGTAAAGAGGGGTCTCCTGCACTCAGTGCTCAATGCGGTTCCCTCTTGTGCCCTTTTGTCCGCGTTTCAGTGCTGATTTTATAGTCATCTGTGCGTTAATTCTGGCAGTAATCGTGAGGCTTTGGACTTCCTGAATCAGAATCCCCCTTCAGCCTTGTGTGAAGTGAATTGGAAGTTGACCGTCTTTCTGCAATGTCCTCTTTGAAACAGGGCAACTATAATTCTACAGAGGTTCTCGAATTGCCAGGTGGAGTTTGAGAATTCCGTCTTGAGACCAGTGGTTTCTTAGTCAGTTGCTGACAGCGTGGAATGAGCCCTGAATCAGTCCTCTTTATCTGTTACTTTTGCAGTCATGCGAAGGGTGCAAATGGCTCAATGGCTCTCTTTATGCAGGAGCAGATAACCGCTTTTACACAGTGCTTGAACTGAGCTGGTGCTGTCCCATATGCTGAGCCTGCAGTGTCTTGTACGCTGGACCTGTAGTGTCATATACGTTGAACCCACAGTGTCCTGTATGCTGGTCTAATATGCTGAGCCCGCAGTGTTTTGTATGCTGATCCTGCAGTGTGCTGTACATTGGGCAGCAGTGTTCTGTACACTGGACTGGTACTGTCCTGTACATTGGACAGCAGTGTCCTGTACGCTACTGTGTTGTACAGCCTCCCTTGCACTGTCCTGTATGCTAGGGCTGGCCCCATCTAACCCTTGTTTTTGCATATACGCTTCTTGAATCTTGGCACTTTTTAATGGTTTATGAAACTGCAATTCCCAAACTTATACCAGCATTTACAATTTTAATCATGTTAGACTCAAAATAAGTCTTCTTGCAGTCTGTTATGCTGAACGCCATGTACATTTAAAGGGGAACTGCGGTGTTATTTTTATATTTCGGGGTTAGAAAGAATCGGCATTGATGAATGCATTTCAAACCACAATGAAAGTAAGATGTGCACAGACATGTGTAAAATCTCCAAGGCTTGACATTTCACCGTGTGACATTTATCACCGCACTACATCCTCTGTTGTTGCTAACGGTTGCTGAAAAGCTGGTAAAACACTTTTGTCTTCTCTTGAACTGATTACTTGAATGTCCTACTCACTGGGGTATCTAAATCCACACTGAACAGTCTTTAGTATGTCCAGAATTCGGCAGCCAGAGTCTAGTGCAAGTGATCACATTACTCCTGTCCTGGAGTCCTTGCACTGGCTTCCTGTGAGGTTTCGTGTCGACTTCAAAATCCTCCTGCTCACCTTTCAGGCTCTGCATGGCCAGGCGAGGTGCCTGACCAGCTTTTCAGTACCTGTCTGAGCTACTATCGTCCTACTCCCCACCTCGCCACCTTCGCTCTTCTAATTCTGGTCTCCTATCGGTCCCCCAAGCCCGTCTTCACTCAACAGGTGACAGGGCTTTTCCTGCTGCCCCCCAGAACCTTGGAATTCCATTCCTGAGGATATCAGAGAGTAACTTTCCCCGAGCTCTTTCAGATCAAGACTCAAAGCCGCCTTCTTCAAAAGGTTTTTTTTTTATTGAACTGGCTCTGCCTCTTTCCCTTTCCCTGCTCTCCTACTGTATTCCAAACCCTTATTGTGACGGTGTCAACCTGCTGTCTCCTCTACTTGTGCACTTTTCTTCTTACTAGGAAGAGCCTCGAGGGGCCACTTTTAAAGGCGCTATATACACCGAAGAGTTTTTCTGTAATATGTAAAAGTCAGTCCCTGAAGATTTCAATCTTTACACTTTGTTGCTAAAGAGCTTTGCTTCTGCCAGGCGTTAGAGTAACAGGCCTGTTTCCATCAGATGTGTTATCTGTGGTTTTCAGACGGGGGGGTAGATACCGGCGCTGTTTGTTTCTTCAGTCGCTTGCTCCAGATGCGCGCACCTGCGGCGTGGTTTTCCCCAGAACCGCAGCAGCTCTTTTGTTTCGGTTGTGTTCCAATGTTTCCGCCTCCACGGTGTTTTGTCGCCAGTGACGTGGGGCGGGAGGGTCCACGTACGGGCTGGTCCGGTTCGCGAAGGCGAGAGGCCGGAGTATTGGATTGATTGTACGTTTCGGAGCGGCTCGTGGGCTCCGTGCGGGAAATGAACAGGACTCTGCTCCTATTGGCATCCACAGGCACCACTTTACCTCTGTCCGCCAGCGAGAGCAACTGAAACCATGCAAAATTCTCAGGCAAAGGGTTGAATGCGCGAGGGCGGCAGTGGGGACAGGGACACCAGGCTAGGCTGGGTAGAGGTCTTGGGAGGAACAGGGCTAAACAACAGCACAACTAGTTACATCCGTGCTTACTTTCTCTCTACACAACTATTTCCATGACCAGGGTCAGCTTGGAATTCCGAAGCCTCTGTGATTCGATGGAGCAAAAGGGTGTGATTCACTTGGGATTTAACACGGATACTTTCTTCCGCGGGGAATTAGATGAAGCCACCTGGAAAACACACAAACACCTACGACTGACCTTGAAATAGCCCAAAAATGTAATTCTTGTTTCTGGCAGCAAATGCCCCATTTTCTCCTGCGTTGGGAGACTCACGTGTTATAATACAAAACCTAAGTGGTTAGTAGTTAATTGATCCAAGGGTCTGGTCCAGGCTTTTCTAGAAAGAAACCAGGGAATTGGTTTCAACAACCTAGCTGGGTAGCTTGTTTCACACTCCCGCCACCTTTTGTGTAAAGTGGTGCCTGTTGTAGAAGGTTGGTCTTTAGACGAATATAAATATATCCCCGGATACATCCGACAAGTTCACGGCGTTCTCAATGGTAAAAACAGCCATAAACTGCACCTAATATGATGCGCTAAACACATGAGAAAACAACAGTTTGTGCACACTTCGAATTTGTCTGCTTTCATTTGAATTGTCCCTATCTGCTGTAACTTCTGTTTTTGAAATTTAAACTTCTCCAACCACGGCCCTCTCGACAAAAAAAGAAAAACACCAAAATAATTCAAACAAAAAAAACAGGAAGCTTAAGTGTAAAATGTGAATATTGAAAGCGTGTTTTGCTTCTGCTGGTACGAGAGTTATTCAGATGTCCATTTTCACCTTTAAATATCATTCATTGATCAAATGTTTTTTTTTATGTTAAAAGTGCAAGCCACAGAGTTTTGTTTTTGGCACAGTTATGCGACCTGATCTTCAAAATGCAATAATAACTGTTTTTATAGCACGTTCTCTGCCAAGCAATTGGCAATCATGATAATAATAATAATAATAATAATAATAATAATAATAATAATTGCTTACACTCATATGTTCGTTTGGAATACATTTAGGTAGTATTTTGCATGCTTCCACAATATTCTTCCCAAAACAACTTGCCGAATCTTTAGATTTACTCATCTATGATGTCCTTGATACACGCCATCGCGCTGATTACGTTAAGGACACTGCTTACGAGAAAAGTTGGTCTGATCGATAAACATTTTACTGTTCTTTTATCCTGGCTGCACTCTGCTTTTACTGTGGTGTACCACCCCACAACGCAAGCAGTGGTAGGGACGCTGACGAAAACAGAAGACTGCTGCAGCTACCAAGAAAAATAGAGGAAATGTTTTTTTGCAGTCAGACTCTTTGCACAGTTGGGATGCCCAGAGGAGAAAATGACCGGCTGTCCTGACAGCGGTGTGATGTCATTCCCAGCTGGCTAGACGCCTGCAGATGGTGTCTGATGTAGATAAACGCCGAGACGTGCATGAAGGTATCGAAAACACACTATGAATACACAATGGAAAACACTGACCTAAAGAAAGGCCAGATATACAAACAAAAGGTCTGAGCTGTTTGTGTTGACTCACCTTTGAGACAATATAGGAAAGCTATAACACAGCCAGACAAAATGTTAAGCTACATTGCTACAAGTAGTAGGATTAAAATCAAGGGGTTCTGAACTGTATAACGCACCAGTTGGGATATATCGTACAGTTGGATCCCTGTGTATGTTAGAAAAGACTATACTAATCTGGACTCTGTTTAGAGCTGGATTCTGGGGTTTAAGGGTGTGTCTCCCTCTTGAAGGAACTGAACCTCTTCGGTCGTGAACCGAAGATCACAAAGGAGATCTAATACTCGCATTCTGATTTCCTCTGGGCCTTTGCCAAAGTCATTCCAGCGGAGCTCTTTAAGATTCACAGTGACACATGCAGTTAAAACAGCAACAGCAAAACGAAGAAGAAAAAAAACAAACAACCGCCTCAAAAACAGGAAACCAGCAACAAGAAACGAGCCGGCCGCACCGTGATCATTTCAAGTGTGAAACTCGTTCTGCCTGCCGCCTGGAGCCCTGACTGGGGGGGGCTCTGTCTCAGGTCGTCGCTGCTCGGGGAGGAGTGGGAGGGGGAGAAAACGAAACTTCTGGTGAAGGGCGTTTGTGATCGGCATCCTCGCTCCAGCTCTCTGGCTGAGAGGGGCCCAATACAGCCCTCTGTCACACATGACTCACTTCCTCCTCTCGTCCGTGTGTGTGTGTGTGGGGGGTTCTGACACAGCACGAGCGCCCAGGGGCAAATATCAGGAAGATGAGCTCTGGAGCGCCACTGCCTTGGTCCTAATGCCCCAGTAAAGTGACAGGGACACTATACTGTAAAAAGGCACCGTCCTTCAGATGAGACGTAAAGCCGAGGTCCTGACTCTCTGTGGTCATTAAAAATCCTAGACTAGTTTCTTGAAAAGAGTAGGGGTGTTACCCCAGTGTCCTGGCCAAATTTCCCTCTGGCCTTTACCAGTCATTGCCTCCTAATAATCCCCATCTCTGAACTGGCTTCATCACTCTGCTCTCCTCCCCACTGAGAGCTGGTGTGTGGGGAGAGGACTGGAGCATCATCCAGGTGGGGGGTCACACATTGGTGGTGACAGTGGGATTCCCCACGACCTGTAAAGAGCTTTGAGTGGAGTGTCCAGAAGAGCGCTATAGAAGTGTAAGGAGTTATTATTATTAATCCTTGTCGGTTACGTCCCCGGGGTTACCCCGAGAAGGCTGCTAAATCCCTTAGTGCATGAGCCTGCAAATATGCGTTAGTCATTTTTCCAGGGAGTAGTTGTAACCATCACTTGTCAGGAATAATGAAATCCCAGAATAAGAATGTTTGTGCATGTTTATCAAGTATTGAAGTGTTTTGGTTTGATTGGCACGGTGGCAGAGTGGTGAGCATTGCTGCCTGGCAGCGCTGGGGCCCTGGGTTCAATTCTGGACCTGAGGTGCTGTCTGTGTGGAGTCTGCATGTTCCCCCATAGTGCTTGTGGGTTTCCTCTGGGTGCTCCGGTTTCCTCCCGCATGCCCGAAGACTTTCTGGCAGGTTCATTGGCATCACAGTGTAAAGGTAAAGCTTTGTCCTCATGGCTTGTGGGTTTTGGGTTCGAGTCCCACTGCTAGTATACCTGGGGTGAGGTTCTGTACCGCAGTGGCTCCAGCACCATCATTGCTGGTGGGGGTGGGGTGGGGGGTGTTTGTGTGCTCTGTAGTCTGCTTAACACTGCAGAAGCTCCGATGAGCTGTGGTCTGATAAGCCACTGTGGTTCTGGTCTGTACTTGACCTTCTTATCGTGACAAAGTGCAGACCTTTTTCCGAGAACTCTGGTTTTATTACTTGAGAAACAGCACGTACAGCACTAGAGCCGACGTGTGCAATGTGCACATATAAGCTAAACTGCTGAAGTGTTGAAAGTTTCAGCTTGGCTTGAGATTTACTCTACGACAGTAAAAAAAAATACTGAAACGGATGCAGGGTGATCTTCTAGTCTTCTAGGGAACAGATTAAAATACAGGGAATTTGAAATTCAGACTGAATGCTCACTATAACAGCTTTCATTAGTGAATTAGAGGGCAGGGTGTGTCGTTTCCTTAGAAGGAGATTCTTGCTGCCTTGCACACAACCCAACTCTGTTTGTCTTATCCGTTTTCCGGCTATCCGAGTGATTTGGAGTGTAGAGGCTTAGGCAGTGGGGGCAAGGCGCTGGCATAGTGGTAAGCTCTGCTGCTTCACAGCGCTGGGGCCCTGGGTTCAGTTCTGGGGGTGCTGTCTGTGTGGAGTTTGCATGTTCTCTCTGGGTTTTTGTGTTTCCTCCCACAGTCCAAAAACATGCTGGTGGGTTAACTGACGTCTTGGGAAATCGGCCCTGGTGTGAGCGTGTGTGTGCGCCTGTCTTTGACCGGCAATGGACTGGCGTCCCATCCAGGGTGTACCCTGCCTTGTGCCCATTGCTTGCTGGGATAGACTCCGGCTCTCCTGTGACCCTGAATTGGATAAAGTGGTTAGAATATGGATGGATGGGGGAAAAACTGGCTGGGTGTTTGATACCATATTATTCTCAGCTGTGTCTGTTCATGTACCGATCACCTACTAAGCACTATTTAGTCAAAAATACAGAAGCAATGTAGTAGTCTGAGGAGAGCCTTTTTAAGGTTCTGTGCCCCTGAATTTGAAGGAAATAATGCCCATAAACTAGGAGATTTGTGAAACCAAGGACTGAGTGCAGATCATTTGTGCTGAATTGGATACATCTGTCAAAAAATGGAGGGATGCATGAATGTTTAGACAATGCTCTTGACACTGGTGGATGAGGGGGCTAAATTCTTTACCTTTCTGATTTCTTGAGTCAATTCTGCTCCAGAACTGAGGGAGTGAAGATCGAGGACCACTCTTAATTCTCCACGTAGTGCAGTAAACGACAGGGAGTTCATTTTCTTGGGTATTCCTACACTTTTATGCTCCCTGCATCGCTGTGGTCTTTGTCCGAATAAACCTGCCCACTGCACTCTGATTCCTGGCAGAAGAATATTACTAGAACGACGTATCTCATTGCTGCAAGCAGTGTCACAGGTGGGGCTGCACACTGGTGGTGGTGGAGGGGATCCCCATGACCTGTAAAGAGCTTTAAGTGGAGTGTCCAGACAAGCGCAATATAAGTGTAAGGAATGATTAGAATTAAAACCAGGGTCTGTCAGAATTAGCTTTTTGTTTAAAACAAAAGCTCTTCAATGTCATGAGAAGATCGCCACAATACAGTTTCTGCATTATGAAGACTATAAAGAGAGTACAAAACAATGAAAAGTGTATGAGCAGTGATGCTTTCCAAGACTAGAATGATAAAAACCTTCATCTCTCATGTGGTAGAAACAGTATACGCTTTAACATTTTTTCAGTTTACAACCGGATCCAGTATCCCAGCTTTTATATAGTCGACTGTAGCAAGAGAAATAAAAAAAAAAGTCATTTTGAAACCTGCTCTTCCTCTTACTAAAAGGGATACAGGGCTGTGGCATAGGTGACAGACTTCCCTGCCTGAACAGGAATTTATCAAAACAGTGTGGCTTGCAGAAGGGGGATTTCCAACTGTTCTGACCAGCAAGGGCTTCCAGTACAGTTTCTTACAGAAAATTAATCTGAATGCACTTCAATCTAAAGTCCAACTCGCTATTCAGACAAGAGATCTAAATTAATATATTTTATTTTACAGGTTCATGCAAAGAATGGTCATCATCTTTTTGGCTGCAGTTTCCAGCGGTGAGCATTAGTCTGTTTTAGTGCAATACGTGAGTCATAGATGTCGTTGGCACCAGTGGTTCCTGTTTCAGGGTCCAGGGTTCGACTCGCACACTGTCTGTGTGGAGTGGCCATGTTCTGAGTTTGTAGTACTGTAGTACTGGTGTGGTAATAGTATGAGCCAGGTATACTGGTGTGGTAATGGTATTTACGATCCAGGTGTACTGGTGCTGTAATGGTATGATCCAGGTGTACTGGGGTGGTAATGGTGTTTATGATCCAGGTGTACTGGTGCTGTAATGGTATGATCCAGATGCACTGGGGTGGATAATGGTGTTTATGACCCAGGTGTACTGGTGCTGTACTGGTGTTTTCCAGTGCTACTGGTGTGCAGTGCTGGAGGAGTGGTGTTCACAGTCCATGAGCTGCAGGCGACTGTGGGCTCTGATGTCCGGCTGCCCTGCACCTTCTCGCTGACCGCAGGAGAGAGGAGTCAAGACAGCAGCGTGGAGTGGGAGTTCCAGGAGAAGGTAATGCCTGCCACAAAACCACAAACGGTTACAGACCGGTCACACATCACAGGTAGACAAGTTGGCATGTAGATCTAAACTGTAGGGCAATTCAGAGCTCACTAGGGTCCCAGCCTGGATTTAGAATAAGTAGGTCTTAGATTGGGGAAGAAAATGCAGATATAGCCTTTGATTTTTGTAGGGTTTTGATGATGTTCCACATAAACAATTCATTTTTATTTCAAGCCGATTTGCATCCCAGTAGGCCTGCGTGGCAGCTCAGTGGTTTGAATTGCTGCCACAGTGCGCCAGGGCCCTGTCTGTGTGGAGTTTGTATGTTCTCCCTGTGTTCATGTGGGTTTTCCTGCTGGCTTCTGGGGAAAACTGGCCCTGGCGTGAGTGTTTGTGTCTGGTTTCCCATCCAGGGTGCACCCTGCCTGGGACAGCGAGGTTTAGAAAATGGTTGGATGTGTGAAATCCTACTTAGGAAACAAAACAGGCAACAGCTAAGAAGCAACATCCAATATGCTTAAGAGCTGAAAGCAAATAAGTCTTATTAAGTCAATTATGGCTTTAGCCGCGTAACAGAGAGATGGGCTGGAAAAAAACCCCAACAAGACCAGGACTGAGAACCCCCAAACTTCAAAGTCTGTGACGTTTATCTCCTGGAAAATGGATTTCTACAGATTGGGCTTTGCAAAGTCCAGTAATAGGCAAAAACAGGCGTGCTCGATTCCAAAATCAAACACCTCCGAGCCCACGCCTGAATTAGCCAGGCGTGGCGAGTAGAGGCCACTGATCACCTCAGGAATGCCTATTTTTCAAACCCATACAACTGCCAAGTAACTCAGTACCAGCAGTAAACACAGCCAAGATACACTATCGATAATAAGATCATCTATTTTGGCAGTTTGCAGGTAACGCCGCTTAGAAGATATGCTAAATGTCATGGATTAAATTATCAGTTTTTTTAATTGATCAGTTATTCACAGGTCAAGGATTCAATTATTTATCAGCATCCGAGACAGCAAAAAAAATTAAATATATTTCTATGAGCTTTGTAGTTTTCAGTGGTGAATATCTCATGCCTTATAACATATACATTAAATAAACATTAGATCATAAACGTATACATGAAATTAAGGGGTCGCCCCCTTTTTTCCCCAGCATGAAATCACCTTTGAAAACACATTCAAATAACACTCTTTATTCTGGCTGCCTGTCCGAGCAGGTGATTTTCTTCTACTACCAGAACCACAGTATCCCGTCCGAGAGGTGGGTGTCCTTCATTGGGAACATCGGGGAGAATGACGCCACCATCCTGCTCCGCAATGTCACTGCAGCCCACCAGGGGGAGTATGTGTGCCGCCTGCGCCCAGCCAACAGCCCTCTCATCTACAAGAACAGCACCCAGCTCCGCGTCACCTCCCCGGTCCTAGGTACGAAGCCCACCCATCCATCTTCTAACTACTACATCCAATATACTGTAGTGTTGCTGGGAAGCCAGAGCTTATCCCAGCAAGCTAGTCTTAGTCTTAGCCATAGGCCTAGTCTTAGTCTTAGTCTTAGTCCTAGTTCTAGTCCTAGTCCTATTATTGATTTTGGAAAGCATGCACCTTTCCAAACCTAAGAACACTGTTCAATGTGATATGGAAAGAAAAAGCCAAAAACACAATACAAAGTAAAGAAAATGGAACAAGAACCTACAGGCTCGGAAGTAGGGCAATCAGACATAGGCTGTAGTAAAAAAGTTGAGTTCAGATTTGAAGAGAGTCAAAGAGGTAGTATCTCAAAGAATCGGAGGAAGGGCATTCTGTAGCAAAGGAGCAGAGCTGGGAAAAGGGAAAATGGTCACTAAAAGTCCGAGATTTCTTCTGGGGTACAGTGAGCAAAGGACCAGCCTCAACTGGCCAGAGCCTACAGGAGGGGGTGTAAGCATGGAGGTGCTCAGAGGCTTAATTAAAGCCTTACAAGTCAGTAACATGATCTTGAATACGTGACTTTATAGGTAACCAATTTAGAGATTTAAGCATGGGAGTGATGTGCTGCCAGGACTTGATGTGATTTAGAAGTTTAACTGCAGACTCTTGGACATATTGCTGAGAACATACTGAGGAGTGTTAGGGAACCCACAGAGCAAAGAGTCCGGAATTCCCCCTGAGCACTTGACCTCTGAAGGTTCCTCAGTGTTTCTTCAGGGCACCTTGCCTTCGTAGCTTCGAGTTTTACCTCATGTAACGGTGTGGGAGTAGGCGGAGCACAGGGAAAAAGCCGACGTCCCTAACTGAGGGACGGAAGCACCGTTGTGAGGTTAGCGAGAACCGAAAATAACACAAAGAAGGGTGCAAAAGCAAAACAAAATGTCAATCTATTGATAACGTGCCTGCATATGTACACACTGAGCCCATTGTGTTGTGAGTTATGCAATCGTCCAAGAAAAGACATTTCGTTTAAAAAATTTCCTGTTTTTGTCCCGGATGTTCCTGAACTTACATTTCACTTCCGTGTAATAAATGCAGTTGTGTCTCAGGGTTATTACGGCGGCACATCTTTGATGGGTGAAGCTTGATTTGACTGGCTACTGATATCAAATACTGAATTGAGGATAGCCAGCCATTAAATGCCCCATTTCCTTCAAGAGACCGCTGGATTGAGATTCCTGGGTCTGTGAGCTAGCAAAACCAGACCGTTGGTAACTTTTGAAATGTGTTTTTGATGCACCCAAAACCCAAGCAGCTTTCAAGCAGCCTGGGGTTCAATATGAGAATTGTACTTATTATACTTATGATAGAGGATGCCTTTTGTTCTATGAAGCATGTTGGCATGTCCACAGATGTTTACACACATGTTCTAACGGATTTGTATCTTTCTCTCCCTCTTTCACTTCTCTCCCATTCTGCCCTCTTGTTCAATCCCTCCATTTTCCCTTTTCTCCCATCCTCCACATCTCTCAACCTGTCCTCCTCTTTTCTCCTGGATCGCTCTGCTCTCTCACTCTGCCTCTGTCTTAGTGCATTTTCCTCTCCCTCTTCTCTCTCCAATCCCTCTCCCCCTCCCACTGTCAGCCCAAGGCAGGACTATCCTAACCCCCCATGCTCAAGCTGCCCAGTGGCCCATGTATGCGGGATCCGTGGGTGGAGGTTTTGTCCTGGCTCTGGCCCTGGCGTTCGGCCTGTGGGCGTTCCAGCGGGCTCCCTGCCGCCACAGCAACCAGGGGTAAGGCAGGGCTTACTGAAGACAGAGTGGCAAAGGGAACAGACGAGCAGAAGGGGATGTCACCCCCTTAGAGCCTGGTCAATTCTCCTGGTTGCAGGGGCCTGGCCCTGTGGCGCAGAGCTATTCTCCTGGAGCAGGGGCCGGGCCCTGTGGTGCAGAGCAATTCTTCTGCTGTAGAGGTCCAGCCGCATGGTACAGAGAAATTCTGTCCCCTGTCAGAAGAAGTGGCGCTCTTGGAGGTCTAAGTCCACAGCTTTCTATTGGAGGTCTTGATCAAATCCGGTGGGTGGGGAGCAGAGCTGCACTCACAGAGACAGAGAGTGTCAGGGAGACTAACAGATGGATGAACAATCCTAAAATGACAGGGAGACCAAAAGGGCAGGGGAAAACCGACAAAAAGGCGGAGCCGCAACAAAGAAAAGTATAAAATGGACATGATGATAACAGAGAGATAAAAAGACTGAGTGAAAGAAGAGAGTCTGAAGTCATCTGATAAGGACAGAAGAGTAGAGGGGAAGGAAAGTAGGAGAAAATAGGGGAAGACCAGGAAAGACCAAAGGGGAGACCTTTGCTTTGGTTTGCATAACCTAAACAAGACCGGGTTTAGGAGGAACAGTCTTATCGCACAAAGCCCAGACAGCAGTACAACCATCTTAGTTATTGTGTGAAAAAGCACACAATCAAGAAGTATTAGACGAAACGTTCAGAAGTATGTCACATTAAGAGTCCCTTGTAAATTCTTTACAGTTTTTTGGTGCAACCCGATGAGTTGGCCCTTCCTCCTTCTCAGTCAACTCTTCTCAATGGGTTTTTCACGAGAGAAAAACAGTTTTGGCGTCACCTCGACCTTCTCAGGCTGAGCTCCTGTCTGCTGTGTCTCGTTTCAGGGAGGGGCTTAGCCAGAGCCTGACCAATGCTGGAGACCGGAACCCCAGAAATAACAAGGTAACTGATCGACCGACAAACCACCCATGTTTTTTCTAAGCGCTTCTTCCGATTCATGATTGCGGGGAAGCTGGAGACTATCCCAGAATGCAACGGGCACAAGATGGGATACATCCTGGATGGGACGCCAGTCCATCACAGGGCACAGGCACGTATGCACGTACGCACGCACCAGGGCCACTTTCCCCAGAAGCCATTTAAACTACCCATGCGTTTTTGGACTTCGGGAGGAAATCAGAGTGTCGAAACACCAAACATTAATCAATCATGTTTGTCGATCAGTTGCTGATCACTGTGTTAAGAGGCAGCAAACTTCTTACCACCTCTTCCTCCTCCTCTCTCTTAGGACTCCGATTGCTATGTCACCCTGGGCCGGACCTGTGCTCCCCCGCCACCCCCAAGACCCCATGCCGAAGACCTCTACATCACCATGGTGAGTGTGGGGCACCCAGGAGAATCCGAGGGCTCCAAACGAGAGCAGAGAAGACAGGCAGTGACGTGGCTGTAGTTCATTCCATTGCACTTCCAGAGCGCGGGGAATAAACATCTTCCCCACTGGCAGGCTGCACTGAGCACTGCGTGAATGAATACGTACACCCGTACCTCTTTTTATGAAGTAATTCGTTCCCAGAAACCCTTTCGTACAGCGAAAATTCATCCCAAGAAAAAAACGATTTTCATTATTGCTTATGGGGCAAAATTCCGATCCATTCTGGACTCTGAAAGTCACCCCCAGCGTTTCCTTTTCTTACCAGAAAATGACAAAAGAAGCAAAAACGACTCTCATTCATACTGCAGTTGATGTTCTTAGGAATAAAAAAAACACTGTTAGACATCATTAATCATAACTACAGACAGCACTGTACAGTAACCACTTCATTTGCTTTTTGTGTGATCACACATGTACACAATTTTTAATTTTCTTAACACGTTTAGTGTCCACAATCAAGTCTAAACCTCAGATATTCTCTGGAAAGTAAGAGCGCTCCCGAAGCGAGATGCGGCGAGCTGGATCAGGCCTTCCGCAGGCCCTGTGCAGCCTCTCGCCAGACTGGTAAGCAGGACGTGCTGCCAACACTCGAAACGAGCCTTCCCCTTCTCTCCCGGCACTTGGCGGGGGATTTGAAATTTCTCTTTGTCTATCGCTTCTTCGGAGTTTTTGAGTTGGCCTGCGTTACTACACATGTGGGTAACAATTCACGTGCTCCGCCGTATCCGATTTTCACAACTTCCGGAAAAACAGGTTCCGGTGTACAAGGGGAAAGAGGATTCGAGAGCTGCAGCTCTAGCTGTGCAATTGGCGAGCTGGTGTTACCATGTTGAGGACTTGTGGGTGTAACAGTAATGTCTGTGCTTGGCTGAGGTCTCAGGTGCAAAGCTCTCAGCATTACAGCTGAACTGCAGCCCTTTGGAAAAGCATCATGCACTCCCTTTCGATGACCTCTCATCCTGTTGATTTTTGTTTTGGGGGGGGGGTACCATAACTTTCAGGGTTACAGTGGTCTAGAGCCTGTTCTGCCCTGGATTGAGCTGCAGTCCATCTGTCCATCTCAGTTTCCAATGTTTGTTATCAAGATTTGTACCGACAGATGCCGGCACAAGCTACAAATGAGTGAGGAAATGAATTTAACGAGCCACACAATCAGTATTAAATCTAAACAGATCTCTCTCTGCGAGTCAGGTAGCGACTTTCAAGCCAAGATTCCACTTTGAATACCAAGGAGCTTTCAAAAAGAACTTGGGAATAAAGTTGGTGCAAGGTACAGATTGAGAGAAGAGTATAAACACTGTCAAACACTGAATATCCCTTTGAGCACGGTGAGATTGATCATTAAGTGAAAGTTGCCTTGTCCTGCCCAGCTATATCCTGGGCAAGCAGGAAACAGGTCAGGGGCTAAAAGTGTTAAATAGCTCAACGGCCGAGATAGGAGAAAATGCCCAGGAGCCAGTGATAGCCTGGACACCCCACAAAGCTGGCCAGTATATCATGAGTGGAAAACCCATTGCAGATCCCAAATGGATTTTACAGCGAAACGTTTAAGTGATATTGCAGCCGTGTGGAAAAGACATCTATGGTCAGAGGAGGAAAAATTGAACGTTTTTGCTCTCAATGCATCATGGTTGGTGAAAACCGAACATAGAGCATCGTCGACACCACTCCTGCTGTCGAGCATAGTGGCGGTAGCTTTGTTATAATTCTTCTTCCCACTTGACAAGACTGAGCCAAAAAATCCCTAGTGGAAAGCGTGCTTCAGCCTGCTGAAGATCTAAAAATGGGACCAATTTGTCCTTCAGCAGCACAATGACCCAGAGCGAGACTGAACTGACCAATCATGAAGAAAGTGAATGTCCCTGCGTGTGCAAATCTGGCAAACGCGTATCCAAAAATGAATCACAATCGCTGTAATTGCCGCTAAATCTTGCTGAATAATGATGCTAAGTTTTGACTTGGTGGGTGACTACTTAAACAATTAGCATGTTTTAGTGGTTCTTTTTTTGCTTTGCAATTTTTCCAGACATTTAACTTTTTACCATGAACAATGTTATCTGAGTATACAAGCTTTGATTAAAACTATTCACTTGAAAGAAAAGCACCTACAGCATTGTTTCACAGGCAGATGAGTTGGCCTATTTCTGCTTCTTTCAAATACTGTATGGTTTAGATATTTGACTGGATTGCCATTGAACTTTAAGAATCAATGGGAAAATAAGCTGCAGTAGGCTCTACTGCTGCAGAAAGAATTTTAGCCAAAAGGTCAACTGAAATGGTGCATATTTCACTTTCTTTTTTAAAACAAAACACAGGCTTTTTTATATCAAAAAGGGTGTGCCGTTGTAGTAACTGGACCGGGTCTCTCCAGGACCAGGGTTACAGACCCCTGGAGTCATTGGACTGGAGCTCTCAATAATCAGGAGTATAGAACCCTGTACTAATTGGATCAGGGTTCTGGACTCCTGTAGGACTCCAGGACCAGAGTTTAAATCAATTTCAAAATACGTAATACAACAGACTCATTAATTTTGATAGTAAAGCTTAACTGTAACAACAATACCAAAAGAGGGAGACTGTCCAAAAACAGGCTCAAGATCGACATCTCAGGGACTCAAACTCAGATCTTTATGCTCTTGAGCAACAATTTTCAGTGAGTGGTTACCGCCATGGTTCACCTCCAGTCCAGAGCTCCATCCAGGACCGACCCAGGTTTGAGTGTACAAAAGCCCAGAAACCCTGACACCGCCTCTTCTTTTTCTACTGCGTCTCACTTTCCGCAACGCAGAGCTGTTCGCAGCCATGAAAGCCTGCTGCGGTTTTCTCTCCTGCCCCTGTTCCTGTTGGTGTAACGCTCTATTCTTTCCCCCCGGCAGCACAGACCCCCCGAGGAGCTGCCCAGGCCTGCACAGACGCCCAGCAACAGGAAGGGGCTACCGGCAGAGTGGCTGGCACTGGACAGCATGCACCCCGAAAGTGAGCATTCCTTCCTGAAGAAGCAGCTCTGCGCCAGTACTGTCCCCCAGGCAGATACCCTCACTGTCTAACACGGACGTGTCCTGGTATTTAAGGCTCTGCTTCCAAAAGAAATGTTGACCATTCGTACGAAGCTCCTCTACCATCGGGTTTCAAATTGCAGGATGCAAAAGCAGCTCTCTGGTCAGAGCAAGGCATCTTTGACGGGTCAACCCATGCCTCCCAGCCGTGACCAACCAGAGCTCAACCTTGCAGGCTTCACCCTCACAAACTCTGCCCTGGGCGCTGGAGAGATTGAAATTCAGGTACTCTGTCAGTATTGCTGCTGTGCCTTGTTCAAAGAAGTCTTAACAAGCTGGTTAAGCAAGATGTACTTATGGCTACACCCACGCGGGCAATCTCCTGGAAAATCAGTGCCACACAGATGCTCCACTAGCTTAGTTCAAATGATCAGTTTCATAACCAACGACTTATATGTTAACAGTTACACAGATTGGATCTTAAACCTCTCTTATAGGCAGGTGCTAGACTAGCCACTCTCTGGATATTACTCTCTCTTCAGCGACTGCTGCAAGAGTGTTGTCTACTGTCCTGAGACAATCTCTTGACCCTCAGCTACACTTGGTAAATAAACCTGCCTCTTCCACGCTAACAGTTAGTTAATCTAGTTAACCTAGAATTCTGTTTGGGCTGGGGCATGCTCTTCATGTAAATACTCCGACCAACTTCTTCAGAGAGTCCTGTCTATCATTTCAGTGGCTGACCTGCTTGTTGATCTTGTCCCAATCTATGAGTGGAAAGTTAAAGTCTCCCTCTATTACCACTTCTTCCTGTCGTGGCTCATAGCAAAACCCCTAACAGAAATGGCCTTTTTCATATCTTCTCATAAGTTTGACCCCTAAGGTGTCTGACATGCCCGTTTCCTCCAGGCTAACTTCCGGTGCCTGTTGTATGGTTTGTCCATCTTTCCTACCTCTGGACTGTTCTGCGTCTGCTAATGTTGTATTACATCACCGTCCCGAGCGCCATGTTTCTGTAGTTCCAGCTGCTGTTGTTTCTTCATGGAGTAGCTGCTGGATTTGCAGGCAAGACGCAAACACAAGGAAGCGAAGTAAAAGACACCCGAAAGCTGAGGCCTAGTTTGTAATTCAATTGCTCATGTCTTGCAGGAATGCTGAAACCAAGGCCGATGTTAAAAGTGAAAAATGCAGAAATGCTGTACGTAAATCTTTGATAAACTCTGTGGATTCTTCTTGCTAAATATGGTCTGCCATTAGAATGCTTTCTAGAGTCACGGTATATTGTAGTAGTGCATAAAATACTGGATAAAAGGCAACATGGTGGCACAGTGGTGGGCATTGCCACCGTGCAGGGCTGGGGCCCAGGGTTCAGCTCCTGGAATGCTGCTCGTGTGGAGTTTGCATGTTCTCTCCATCTGTGTTAGTGTAGGTTCCCCCCCACAGTCCAAAAACATGCTGGTACAGTAGGGTAATTGGCTTCTGAGTAAACTGGCCCTGGTGTGAGTGAGTGAGTGTGTGTGTGTGTGGCTTGCTGAAATAGGCTCTTGCTCCTCCGCAACCTTGAAGTGAAAAGAGCGATTGAGAAAATGGATGGACATGTGGGATGTTGCATAGAAAACACAATGGTAAAAAGGAGGTAAAAAAAGCACTCCCCCCCCAGCGCAGGGGAAACAGCCAGATCGTTTGTGCTGTGGGACGTGGGCATCAGGGCATCTCCTGTAACAAACTCCTTGAGCCAGCACTGGCAGCCTGCAGCTCCTTGGCTGCCCCCTTGTGGCAATCTTAAAATACAGCAGCAGCATTTAGATATTGCCCAGATATGGCTTTTTTTTCAGAATGAATTTGGAAACTACAAAACGCCACCTCAACGTCTTAAACGCCCCTCACTCCCTTGCGTGATCTCTACGCTCATGGAAGGGAACAGATTAGGAGTAGTACACTAACAGCATTTGGAGATGTTTTTTTTAACAACTGATCAACAATAATTCCCATTTGTAATCTAACAGTTCCGGGTGTTTTTGTGTGACTGTTGACATCCTGCGAGATGGGGGACGTTTAAGTTGTAGGTTGATCAGCAAACAGTTATCTCCGTTAACCGATATTCGTTATCGATGTTAAGCGATATCTCTGCCCTGATATTTGCTCCCTTAACCTCCCACTGCGGCTTAAAAATTCTTGGTCGGAGAGGGAACTTTAAAAAACGTCTCTCGTCATCATCTTCTGGGGGTGTGCACCCCACTTTAGTCCTTCACATTATTCAGCAGTAAGTGTGTAAGAGCGATGATCATCCCCACCCCATCCCACCGCCAGATGAGCAGACCTCTGGGTGGGGCGCAAATAAAAGAGCCCAGCAGGATCTCTCTAGGAGTCTGTCAGTGATGCTATGAATGAGAAACAAACTCTTTTGCACTCATATGGAATGAAACTCACTCCTCTGAGTGTCCAACACTCCCACACAGGAGTGCTAGAAACACACTGGGAGAGACCATGAGAGATCAGAGCATAACCTCTCCAGAGTCTGTCTATTCCTTATTTCTCAATGGGAGAGAAATTAATATACTGATGACAAGTGTCTGGTGCGATAACTCCAGTATAACAGAGGAAGCAAACAAAGTGAACTGTGGCTGAAAGTCACAACTCCTGAGTGTTGATGCACATTCTCCGAGTTGAAAACTACAAAGCATATCCAGTCCCTAACTGTAACACTACCTCTGATCCTGCTCCTCACTCTTTTACACATGATCAACAACGGAGCTCAGAAGGGCACAGAAGACACTGAGGTGCTGCTGCAACTCTCAGCTCTGAATCTATAGCCTTCAGGCTTTACTGATGTGACCCAGAATATTAGTGATGATAGCGAGATACAGGTACTGTTCAATTACAGGGGACAGAGTTCTAGACAAGAGAATGGAAAAGAGATGAGTTGATGTTAGATTTCCAGGAGATCACCATCAGTGACTTCAGTGCTGGAGCTGTAGTGAAGGAGAGTTGGTGTGATGCACCGAGTGTGATCTAGACTGGCTTGCCCTACAAATCACAGAGCTGGATATTGTCTCCTCTGAGAATCTTCACACTTTCAGTCCTCAGTGAGAGTGATGAACAGCAGGAGGCAGATGGATGTTTATTAATCACATTGACGGACTTGAACAAGGTCAGCAGTAGTAGCATGCCTTCTAGAGTGCTGGAATGACAGAAGTGCAATATAATGAATAAATTAAGTCAAGTTGTGCCAGTGCACGTCCTTACACAATACTGATTAACATCAGGAGTCCTGTCTGTGAAGCACTCACACTGGAGTAATATAGACATCGGGGGGAATGAAAAGTGAGATAGGAAACTGTTCACAACAGGAAGTTCTGTTCCTATTAAAATGTAATTGAAAGGGATGCCTGCTTGGTCAGTAATAGCGTTCAGAAGCTTTTGAATATGAGGAAGGAGACAATCATGTTAATGATTGAGTTAAGTGATTCTCAGATCCAAAGCTGCAGTAGCAGACTATCAAAGCAGAGACATTGGAACAGCCAGAAATTGGAACAAGGGTGTGTGATTCCTTCATAATGAGATGAAATAACAATAAAATAGTCATGGGCTCAGATCTATTATAGAGTCTGTTTGAATGTCTAACATTGCATAGGGTACAAAAACTGCGCGCTCCTTCTCAAACTATCCAATCAGCGAGAGGCTCCCGAGGCCTTCAGCCAATCAGGACGGGGCTGCCTGCGCAAATAAACCCGAGTGCGGGCTGCTGCTCTCAGTACAGTGCTGATTGTGAAGAGCAGCGAGGAAGATGGCGAGAACCAAGCAGACCGCTCGCAAGTCCACCGGCGGCAAGGCGCCCAGGAAGCAACTGGCCACCAAGGCTGCCCGCAAGAGCGCCCCCGCCACCGGCGGCGTGAAGAAGCCCCACCGCTACAGGCCCGGCACCGTGGCTCTGCGGGAGATCC